ATAGGTAGATTTGGAAGCAATGTGTGAAGGAGGAAAACCTGTTATATAATAAACACAAAGACCACTATGTGCTAAAAGATACAGTTTAGGAATGGTGAAAAAGTCTTTTAATTTTGCTGCCAGTAAAATATTTGGGGGAAGAGGGAATATTATGAAAGAACTAAGTAAACTTTTTAGCAATATTCTATTTTTTCCCTTACAGTTTAAACACTTAATGTTTCATACATTTCTGTAACTCTTCACATGTTTTGAGTTAACCTTTGTGGACATCTGCTTGAGCAGCAGAAGGTTATTCAATTCATGGTTTCCCAAGGCATTGCAATTTTTTAAAACTTTTTTTTCATTCTCCATTAAAACTCTTCATTTTTTTTTCTGACTTTGCCTTAACTTAACCCACTGTGACACATCTACTTGTAAATGCCAGTATAACTTCAAAAATGGAACCTCTGCTGTCATTTTTCATAAGGGAAGCTGCAAAACATTCTGTCATGAAGTGATCTCATTAAATCAGAAAAGACACAGCCACTGAGTTAGGAATATGTTTATAACCACTCTTTGCATTTAGTTCTTTATTTAGAAGGACTTTGGAAAATTTATAGGAATATGAGAATTGCTAGTGGTCTGTGTAGTCCAGTATCCTGTCTCCAACAGTGGCTGGTACCAGACACTTTAGAGGAAGTTGCAAAGTAACCCTCAAAGTGGGCAATTAGATAATGACCTGCCCATATGGTAAACTTCCTCCTAATCTCCTTGATTAGAGGTTGACAAAGACCATGTCTACATTACAAACTTCTGTTGGCACAGCTATAGCAGTAAGGGGTATGAAGAGGTGTGATATCTGACTGACCGCTGTGTCAGCAAAAGCCCCGAGTATAGACACATTTATATCCTCAAAACTGCACTTTTACTGGTATAGCTTATTTCATTCAGGGATGTAAAATGGCTGGATTAAGCTATATCCGCAAAAGCACAGTTTTGCTGGTAAAGTAGTTTCCACAATAGAAACACTTTGGCAGTATAGTATATTGATATAGCTATACTGGAAAACATTCCTAATATAGACATGGCTTTGTATTCTAACGTGTGAAGACTTATAGGACCAGGTCTCTATCCAGTTTGCAGGTGCAAACAACTGCACACACACTTTTTAAAGTATATGCCCTCATAAGGATGTTTTTCTAAATATGGATTTTCATTACTATTGTTTGTATTATTGCAGCCCAAGAGGCCCCAGTCCCGCCCCCCCCCAAGCACTGTGTAATCACATAGCAAGACACATCCCCTGCCCAAAAGAATTAGTCTAATTTAGAACAAATGGAGGAGATTATGAAGTTGATGGCAAGACTAACAGTGATAGCCTGTGTGAACACATGTTCCAAACTGAGCAATTAACAGTTAGAATGATCTTTAAATATTAGTTGTCCTTACTAGCCATTATCAGCTGGCATTTTACCATAGGAATCAAGATAGAAATGGTTTTTGAGGTACGCCTCTACCCTGATATTACGCGACCCGATATAACACGAATTCAGATATAATGCGGTAAAGCAGCGCTCCGGGGGGGCGGGGCTGCACACTCCGGTGGATCAAAGCAAGTTCGATATAACGCGGTTTCACCTATAACGCGGTAAGATTTTTTTGGCTCCCGAGGACAGCGTTATATCGGGGTAGAGGTGTATTTATAGGAGATCAGAACAGTGGCTTTAGAGATTGGTTTCTTCCATGCATAAAGTGACTCATGGGAGAAAGTATGCTGCACTAAACATTCCAGTCTCAATATTTATCTCAGTTCATAGAATGAACCTAACTCAATGTACTAGATTCACATATAAATTAGAATAGTCGTTAAATATAAATTAAGACAGTGTCCACTAAAATACTTCCTACCCAGTCAAACTCACTCTAGACAAATAGGCTTTCAAGATATGTCTATGCAGGGATTAAAAACACTGGTCCACGTCAGCTGAGTCAGGCTTACAGGGCTATGGTTGAAACATTGCTGTGTTTGGGTTCAGGCTGGAGCCCAAGCTCTGGGATCCTGCAAGGGTGTGTCCTGAAGATCCACAGATTTGGATCCTGAGCTAAGGAGGCAAACTAATTCCAGAATCAGGGCTTGTTGGAAGGCAAATGAGATCCACTCTCCTTTAGCTTTAAGCCGTTTCTAGTAGCCTTTATTTTGTACATTTTAAGACAATGCTGTTAGCACCTATGAGTTACATATACATTCAAAAACAGATAAGGCAAGAGAAGTTACCTTTCCTGGGGACAGGGTGACTTTTTTCAAATCTCTGGTGTCTGCTGTGTTCTTCCCCTGTGTCTTCTCCATGCTTGTTTTCAATCATTATCTTTTATACCCTGTTCCATAACTTTGCCTCATACCTATCCATTCTAAAGCCCAACTAAACATTTGTATGCATAAATCACAATAATTAACCTAAACTAATATATTTTTGCTTACCTTGCTAAAATTCACTTCTGTGATTTATTCTTTGCTGTCAACCCCACTGGTACCTTCAAATTGTTTTTGATCTTACTGGTCTGTTTTTGTGGCCTTGGGTTTTTGCATGTTAACTTGTTTTGTGGGGGAACCTGAAGTTAACAATTCTCTTGTGATGGTTTCACCTGCTATTTATATAGACCAGGGTTTTACAGAGTAAGACACACAAACCAGTTGTCATGGTTTACACAATAATTTTTAAGCTAAATTTTGAAATTCTGCATCAGCAGGGACATGTACAAGAACAAAAAAAGTCCTTTATATCTTCCTATAATATAGATAATAATTTATCTAACATTGTTTAATATATTAACGGGTTGGGTTATGTGTATGACTAGCACAATTCATTACACAGTTTTCCAACAGCCTCTCTATTGACTATACTCTAGCACCAGTTTCCTGATGTACAAATCTAGGAACTGTTAACTTGAGCATTTAGTCTAGTCTCAGCTTGCAGGTATAACAAAGGGTGAACAGTCTTTGGGAACAAGTGATACAAACCACGTAGGGCTTAAGTTAATACTTGTGTTGCACCTAGAAATGAAAGCCAATGTAATTTACAGAGCACTGGTGAAAAATGTCTAGATAGGTAAGCATATGGACAGATGCACTTCTCTCTAGCTGAAGTTTTCAAATATTCACAGAATATGCATTGTAATTCCGTCTGCAGGTGACACAGACATAGATAACCACGGTGAGGTCTGCATTTGAGAGAACTGGTAAAAAGCTGATAGCCAGTGGCATATTATTATACCCGCAAACTGAGACTAGACAGAATGCCCAGGTTAACAATTTCTAAAATACATAACAATTGGGAGCAGATTTTGACTTTGTGGTTGGGTTGTTAATTACTACCTTAATTTGTTCAAGGTGACCTGGTAAGAACTTATTTTCCTACACAGTCTTAGCTTTCATTGGTGAAAAATGTGACCTTGGACTGTTGCTTTCATTGTTCAGCTAGTTTGGAATGCAGCAGTTTCAGATGAGTCAGGAGTAATAGGATGGGATCTGCAGCCTTCTGCAAAAAACAAACACACAAAAACAACACCACCAGCAGCTTCTTGGTGGTGTGAGTGTTTCTGACAAGAAAATAAACATGAATGGATCCATTAGTAGCCCAAGAAACTAGCACATCAATTTAGTAACAACATAAATGAGTACGCTTTACTACATTTATTTATTTTTTTTCTGCAAGAAGTGGCCACCTAAGGTAAGCTCCTAAACTCAAACATTCATCAGGTGTGTGATAGTACTATAGCTGCAAAGATTGGACCAGCTCCCCAGTTTTTAATCCGTCTTAAAAAAAACACGATTTGCTCTCTTTTATTATTTTTTTCCTTCCCATAATGGATTTCACCAGCAACTTCTTTTGCGAATATTTTGGTTTAGGGTCAACAGTTGAACTACTTCTAAAAGTCAGTGGTAAACAAAGTATAATTCCACAGCCCAAGAAAGCCACTAGTATACTATACTTCAGTAAATGTTAATAGTTGTCAGGGAGCTATGATACAGACATCAGAGTTAAAACATAAATAGCAAGAGGAAATGTTCTTCATGTTCAGTTTTGCCATTTTGAGCAGTGTGTTTTCTTTCTTCTGCAAGCTAGGAGGTAGGAGCCAGACCTGTCAATGTGGGGAAGGGAAGGGCTTGGCTTTTGTCTTTCATAAAGCCCTGTATTCTTCTGCTTCCTAACAACACTGAAAGGTGGCCTCCAAATCTCCTGCTCTACTAATTTGCATAGCAAAGTAGACCTCAAAACTTTGCTAATTTACCTTTTGATAGTCTTTTCCCTTGATTCAGTGGGCAGATTTTGTTTGTTGCCTATTTTCCTTCCAACCTAAGGGGGATCTGTGCATTACAGCTTGCAGCAACCCCTCCTTATTCCCAAAGCTGTAGGCCCAACATAGTAGACAAGCTTGCATAAAAGAATCCGAAACACTGGAGGCACTTTCAGCCCTCCTTGAGTCCCTGTCTGGATGGAGCTCTGTTTTTGTTTATATGGGAAGTCACATTATAGGGTAAAATGGTTTCTTCAAAGAGCTCTGCTGGTATTTTTCAGCACTTGGTGGTGGCAGTTGTACTATCTCTAGCACCACCACCCTACTCAGGCAAACTTTGCTACAAGCAAACCTCCTCAAATTCTTAAGAACATTATTATTATTAAAATTTTTTTTTTTTTTTTAATTACTCGTGGTTGGCCAAAAAGGATCTTTGAGTCAGTCAATATATAATTGAGAAACCAGCAAGGAGGACCATCACACTGGAATCTTGCAGAGCTCATTACACTTAACATTCTCCATGAGAATGCTGGTCTCAAAAGAAAGCTTGTCGCTATAAACTACAGGCTGGCATTACTATTCCTGGGACCAACATGGCTACAACAACACTTCAAACAATAATGGAAGATATCATATTCTTGCTATGGAATTTACCATTTTGTAACAGCCAAGTGCCCAGGTGTTGTTTTGGGGTTTTTTACATTGTTTTTCCTTCTTGATTGCAGCTACTTCTTGCTCTCCGGCTTTCCTCACAAGGAGGGGTTAATTGAATTACACTGCATATTCCCTGCACTGTTCAATGGAGCTGCAGACCAGGGGGAGCTGGTGAGATGAGCCACAGAAGCTGGGGGTAACTAGAGAATATTTTGGGAGCAGAGGCCAGGAGAGTGTGGATGTAGGCTGTCCAGAGGGCATAGTGCAGGGGTCGGCAACGTTTGGCACGTGGCTCGCCAGCCTAAGCACCCTGGCCTGCCGTGCCAGTTTATTTACCTGCTGACGCGGCAGGTTCGGCCGATCGCAGCCCCCACTGGCCGCGGTTCGCCGTCCCGGGCCAATAGGGGTGGCGGGAAGCCACGGCCAGCACATCCCTCGCCTGCGCCGGGACGGCGAACCACGGCGAGTGGGGGCCGCGATGGGCCCAACCTGCCGCGTCAGCAGGTAAATAAACTGGCCCGGCCCGCTAGGGTGCTTACCCTGGCGAGCCGCGTGCCAAACATTGCCGACCCCTGGCATTGTGAAATAAACTGTCCCTGGAAATGATCAACTAATTTGACAAAAATGATTTTCAGCTATGAGACATGGGAGCATAAGGATGGAAACGAAAGATATTTCATTATGGTAAAATAATGTAACAATGTCGTGGAATTTAGGGGTGGCAGCTGCAGAATTTGGTCCTGTTATGTGGTGATGTATGTGGCATTCTTATATTTTTTTCTTTAATATTAAAGTGTGTGATTTGAACCCACAGAATGAGAATGTTTGTTTGTAATTTATCTAAAAATTCCACACTAGACATACCTTGCCCCTTTCTGTCCAGGTTTGCTGATAAAGGCTTCAGTGTTACCCACTTTTCTAAAATCACTTTTATAGAAAACATTGCTGTTTACACTGCACAGCTGAGGTGCCTAGCCATTAATCATCAGATTAAACAGATCTCCGTCGCAGAGCTGCAGGGTGGGTGGAAACTTGTATTGCAATTTTCAACCAGTGTAGCGGGCATGCAGATGCAGAAAATTCCTATTTCCCGCCCCCTCCCGCCCATACTACTATATGTAAACAGATTTTTCTTATATGTGTCATCTTGATGCAAATAATAGTATAAGACTAAGAGTTGATTTCCCCCCCGCCCCCCAACTTGTTAAACGTTTTCAAGACATTGAACTCAATTCTCTGTTGCACTGTGGTCTTGTGCTGCTTGCTAGCACAAAGATGCCTTAAACCTGGCAGATATGTTCATCTAACAATTCCATGTTGACATGCAGCTGGATTAGTAGCTCCACACCACTCCCTTGCAGCTCCTTGGATAGGCGCTGTAACTGGGGGAAAGGTGTCCGCAGGCATTGCCCCTGCAGCTCCCATTGGCTGCAGTTCCATGCCAATGGGAGCTGCGAGGGCATTGCTTGGGGTGTGGGCAGCATGTGGCGCCTCCTGGCTGCCCCTACGCATAGGACCCAGAGGGGGGACATGCCACTGCTTCTGGGAACCTCACAGAGCGGGGCTTGCGGGAGCTCGAGGGCTGGATTAAAATGCCTGGAGGGCCAGATGTGGCCCCCGGGCCGTAGTTTGCCCACCCCGGCCAGATTCTTCCATGAGTTTTCTCTCTCTCTAAAGTTCAGTGCTTATTTGCAAGGTAAATATTACCTGAAGAATTTTCTGTAAAATGTTATCTTTTCATAAATCACTAACTGGTTATTCTTAGTGGATATCACTTGTGTAAATGTTTTAAATAATTGATCTGAATGTTACTTTCTTTAATGCTACTTTTTCATTAATGCTAATGTGGTAGACACTTGTCTTTAGGCTACATGTATAGCTTCTTTTTAATTCCTTTACCCAACTTGCAATTTAATTTTTCATGCTTATTAACTTGTAGGATAAGAAGTGGTGTTAAGATATTGAGCACCAACTAATTTTATCCCGCAAATTTCTAAAATCTGTAGTCTCAATAAACAAGACATGGTAGGCCAAATCAAATTGCTTCTCTTAATATCCATTCTGGGATGTGACTCCCATTATCTTAGTCACCTGGGGTTGTTTGCCATGGTTTAGGGAACACCACGATTAAAAATAATCACTATTATTATTTATGACTGTATTAAAGAAAGGAAAAAAATTAAAAACAGAACAAAAAACAAATAATGTACAGCGGTTACTGCAGCTACAATCTTCTTTATATGTTTCTCTATGGCAAATTTTTAACCGAGATTGCACCTTTGAGAGTGGGCCTGTCCCTGATGGGGCACTCTTATCTAGATAAGTTAAGACCAAAGTATATTTTCAACACTAATAGTGAGTTGTGTTTTATAGATGGGCAAATGAATTTTTGTTTATGGGTAGGTGAGTGCTTTTTTGTTTTATTTAAAGATAACATAAAGAGAGTGATCTTAATGAAGTCTTGTGAAAGCAAAGAAGGTGTTTAAATTAGAAGTTATTCAAGGAGCTCTCTTGAGACAGGCATATTAAGAATTCTAATATTCAAATTAAATCCACTGCTTCTTTCGGTTTATCCAGGTTAACATATGTCTCCCCTATGGAAATATATAGTCTAAACCATTTTGGTGTTTAACAGGAGAAGCCATTACTATCATAAAGTAGAATAGCTTTTCAATATCCCATTTAAAATCATGACAAGAAAAAATTAAATCTAGTGCAGGGATCTCAAACTTAATTTACCTTAGGGCCAGTGCCAGTCCTCAAATCCTCCCAGCGGGCCAATGTCACTCATGCCACCCAGAATCTGCCCCCCAAAAACTCTCCCCCCACCTGCCTAAGGCTCTGGAACGGAGTTTGGGTGGAAGAGGAGGTCTGGGATAGGGGATTAGGGTGCAGGCTCTGGGAGGGAGTTTGGGTGCAGAAGGGGTGAGAGGTTGGGCTCTGGGAAGGAGTTTGGGTGGGGGAGGGGGTCTGGGGCGCAGGCTCTGGGAGCGAATTTGGGGGTTGGGGGTGTGGGGATGGGGTGCAGGCTCTGGGAGGGAGTTTGGGGGCGGGAGGGGGAGTGTGAGGAGGGGGTGCTGTCACAACCCAATGGCCCCCTCTCCTTAGAGAGTCCCCTGGGAAGGTAGATCAGCACAGCCCCGCCCTGCCCCATCCCTGGGCTGCAGGGAGGGGCCATCAGCCACTGGAGCAAGCAGGCAGACGCTGCTCAGCTCCGCTGCGCTGCCAGGGACCCTGAGGGGGGGAGCGCCCGGGGGGACAGGTGGGGCCAAGAGAGAGACCTGGCCCCAAAACTGTTGGAGCCCCATGTGCCACATTGGGGAGGCTCGCAGGCCGCAGATCATAGAATCATAGAATATCAGGGTTGGAAGGGACCTCAGGAGGTCATCTAGTCAACCCTCTGCTCAAAGCAGGACCAATTCCCAACTAAATCATCCCAGCCAGGGCTTTGTCAAGCCGGGCCTTAAAAACCTCCAAGGAAGGAGATTCCACCACTCCCTAGATAACGCATTCCAGTGCTTCACCACCCTCCTAGTGAAATAGTGTTTCCTAATATCCAACCTAGACCTCCCCCACTGCAACTTGAGACCATTGCTCCTTGTTCTGTCATCTGCCACCACTGAGAACAGCCGAGCTCCATCCTCTTTGGGAACCCCCCTTCAGGTAGTTGAAAGCAGCTATCAAATCCCCCCTCATCCTTCTATTCTGGAGACTAAACAATCCCAGTTCCCTCAGCCTGTCCTCATAAGTCATGTGCTCCAGACCCCTAATCATTTTTGTTGCTGCGGGCCGAGAGTTTGAGACCCCTGATCTCGTGCATTTGCAATCTTTCACCCTTGATGTGAAATCATGGTGATCTCATTGTGTTCCAGAATCAGTGCTGTACTGGAGGGTTGTTGCTTCCTAATGTTGTGTGGGGTCTTCTTTGTTCTTTGTCATCTTGCTGCTGTTTGCATGCTCTAAAGAGATGAGATGAACAGGATGAGAGGAGATGAGTGTGACAGGTTTGCCATTGAAGTTGACAGCGGGGAGCAAGATTCATGCTGCTTGCTTAATTCAGAAAAATGTACTCTTCTTTCATAGTTTGACTAGAGGTTCAAGACACACCTCTTTTAGGGCATTCTTCAAATTGAATATTCACTGCTGTCACCTGTTCCGTGACTGAAGACATTCATGAGGTGGTTCTGGTAGCATCTTTAGAACATGAATTTACAATCTGTAATAACTATCTTTTGTTCTTGTGGAGGGAGCTGTCAGAACATTTTAGGTTAGAGTTTTAACTTGCGTATTTAGCCCATTTTCTGAGATATTCCTGTAGTTTTATTAGGGTTTAATAGGAGTTGAAATTCTGTTTCAAATAAGTACAAATACTCTTATATAAAAAGTCTTCAATTTCTCAAAATTGCCTTTTTAAAACTTACAAGATTCCTAAAGGGTCTTTTTAGCTTAAATAGTCTTCACAGAAGATGCTGCTGCTTCTTGGAAATCTTTGGAGAGGGGACTTGTATTTCTGAGTTTGATAGGGAAATTGCCAGATAATTAATTTCCCAATTAAAAACTTTACATATATAAAGTTGAGGCTTACTGCCTACAAACTTCTGTGATTTTTTTTTTTTTAAATCTTTTTTTAAATCTCTGAAGATGTCCGCGCAGTGTGCAGAGGCAGTCAAAAAAGCAAACAGGATGTTAGGGATCATTAAAAAGGGGATAGAGAATAAGACTGAGAATATATTATTGCCCTTATATAAATCGATGGTAC